TCCAGGCTAGGCATATTTGGCTGCCTTAGAAGAGACAACTTGATTCCAGGCTCCTGTCCCCACCTCCCACCGCCCTAAACAATCAGGCCAAGCAAAGAATCAGCATCCCTCAAAGGGGCTTTAGAATAAGTTACTTCTAAATCTGTAGGCTGACGGTTGATGGGCCAAATCCTACCTGTAGCCTGTATGGCAAGTAAACTAAAAATAGTTTTTACATTTTTAAATGGTTGAAAAAAATAAAAGAAGAATATTTTGTGACACATGAAAATTGTACACAATTCACATTTCAGTATTCATAAATAAAGTTTTATTGGATCACAGCCACACTCATTTGTTTGAATATTGCCTATGGCTACTTGCATGCTACAATGGCAGAGTTGAGTAGTGTGATAGAGACTGTGTGATAGAGCCCACTGAAAAATGTGGGCTGTGTGCTGGGTCAGCCATGGGGCACACAGGCTTTCAAAGGTAGTAACACATAGGCAGAGTGGCTCTGAGAGAGGAGGAAGTTAATGACAGAATCAGCAGGATGGTGATGTAATGTTGTGTGGTGTGATGATCTTTCCCTAGAGGGGAAGAAACTTCTGCTCCTCTTTCCAAGAGGGAGTGGCATTACAGTGAACACTTCTGGTTTCTTTCCATACTTGTATCCATCGGAATCACTTACTAGTGGGTGGGGTTCATTGCTTTCAAAACAAGATACAGGTTCAACTCTGGTTTTCTTTCTCTCCTGCCATGCCTATCTCACTATGAAAGGCAGTGGGCTTTCTTCTGCTTCCTACGCCAAGACGGTAGGCATACTTGGATCAGGACCTGTCGCAGCATGCTTTGTAAAGGCAGCCCTGGAAACCTATCAATCTCTCCAGTCCTCTGACTCCATTTGTCAGACAGACATTAGTCTCCTGGGTATATGAAATCATATTTGCAGATCTAACTTGCTCCACAGGCAGGTCTCAGGGTGCACATTTACAGAGAAGTAGATCCTAGTCTCATTTCCAGCCTGGTTTTAGTAGGGATCCTTGCACTTTGTGGGATATTAGATACCTAACCAATAATAAAGATGATACTATAATGAGATGCCTATTTGGTTCCTTGTGTCTATTCTCAGTTGGTTAGAACCCGGAGAAGATGGGCGATTGACATTCCATGGTCTTCAACACTCAAGACCATAAATTCAGAAAGACTGCAAACATCATGATGTGCTTGGTGTCTAGGTTTCCTCAGGAAGATCATGAGGGGCAGCGTTTGTGCCAGGCAAGCATAAAGAGACAAACTTAAATGGAATGCAGAAAGCAAGAAGTTGGTCTTCTATTCAGATGTCTAGTATCTTCATATTCTGTAACCTGGAGATGTTGACTTCTGTCCCACAGCCTATCATAGCCTCAGTTATGCAGATTAAGTGCAGAGTTCAAGATGGAGAAAGTAGGTATTTTCCAAACCCACTCCCTAAGTCACAGAATTATCCTATCTTAGTTCAGTTGATAACTTCATGCTGTAAGACATCATCTTTTCCTCTTCTCACTGCAAACAGACCTTGGTATATAGTTCTAAGATTGATCTGGATTCATGTTCCTTCAATTTATTTTAGGTTTCCAAAGCTTTTTTTGTGTGTAAACACTTCTATACTTGCTTTGTCTTTTCCTCCCTTTTCCAGTCTCAACCCCTAGTCCCTTCTTTTATTAATCAACCTCAAGAGGAGTGACTTGCAATATGTGTATATTGGAGCAATAATTCTCAACTTGCCAAAAAGTACAGCATTAGATCTGTGTATATCAGAATTTAGAATAAGGGATTCAGAGGTTCTGCAGGAATTATAATATCTACCTTATAGGGTAGATATCATGTGGTTTAATATATAAATAAATAAATAAATGTTGCATACTATGTTATTATGTACCAGGAACAATTCTAGATTCGTCTCATTTCATCATATATAAAAATATATAAAATGGGAAAAAATAAAGGAAGGTCAGTGAAGGCCATCAGACATAACTTCTTTTTTTTTTTTTGAGGAAGATTGGCCCTGTGCTAACATCTGTTGCCAATCTTCCTCTTTTTCTTTTTTCTCTCCAAAGCCCCAGTACATAGTTGTATATTATAGTTGTAGAGTTGTAGCTCTTTTATATGGGAGGCTGCTGCAGCATGGCTTGATGAGCAGTGAGTAGGTCCTGGCTCAAGATCTGAGCTGGTGAACCCGGGGCTACCAAAGTGGCTCACGTGAACTTAACCATTATGCAACCCGGCTGGCCCCCAATAGCTTCTCCATTTTACATATGTGCAAACTGAGATCTAGCCTTTCTAATTACTTCCCAAGATTTTCTGGCTCTTTCCCCTATACACAGATGCAAAATATCTTGAAATCTGGATGTTTAAAAAATCTGAATTTTTTTTTTGGCCTCTTCAGATTTTTGGAAGAATGATTTCACTTTTAATTTGCATGTTAGTTTCCATGCAGCCAAACTCTTTCCTCTTCAACAAGAAGCTATGATGTAAGTAAAAACAAAGAGTTCGGGTTTGAAAAACTGGCTTTGAGTATTGTATACCAAGAGAGTGCCTGGAACTGTGGCACCGATTCTAAGAGTAAATCATTACTAATGGTTTTCCCATTGGGGGTTGATTCTGTTAATGATGACTCAGGAGCCTCTCGATCACTAACTCAGCTGTGATAAAATGCTGCTTGTGAAAACTGCAGGTGATTTTTAGCTCTGACCAATTGAATACTTATAGTATATTCTGGGAAAGGTGTGTTTTGCTTAGGTGGCAACGTTAGGAAAGTGGAAGAAGGATTTCTGCATGCCATTTTCAAAATGAATTCAATGGCTCCTTACCTCTCATTTCTTTAACTGGTCTGCTAGTCCCATTATGTCAGGAATCATCTTATTAATACATATAAAATCATCTTATTATTAAAACAGATTCTAAAACAAAAACAAAACAAAAAACCATCCTAGTTCAAAATCTACTTCCTTCAGGAAACCTCCAATGAGTAATCATAGTTTACTTAATATTTTGACCCATTCAAATGAAATCTCAGAACACCGAATTCCACTAAAAAATTTTAAATAAACTTTTATTATTTATCTCTGAATGTCTTTTAAGTTTTCCCCAGTTATTTACTTAAAACCTCTGCCTATAGCAGGCAGTCCTGGATCTGACTTTTGGCTCACTTTCCAGTGCATGATCTTGGCCTAATCAGTTTCCTCATCTGTAAAATAGGGATAAAAATGGTACCCATATCATGGGACTGTTATCAGGGTTGAGACAACATGGAAAGCACTTAGCATAGTGCCTGGTATATAGTAACTGCTCATCAAATGTCTGTGATAATTATTGTCTGTCCCTTTTATTTTTTAAGGTATATTGGGAAGAGCATGGGCTACGCAATGAGTCAGTTCTGTGGTGCAGTTCTGTCAGCCCCTTATTCTGTTTGGCATCTTGAGAAATTTAATTAACCCTTTGAGCCATTATTTCCTCATTTCCAAAACGGATATACTGTAGTAATATCCAGTCCACTAGGTTGTTTTGAGGTAAGTGCCTATTATGTCCCTCTCCTCCCAAGCGATTATCAACAAGTTAACATTTATGAAGTCTATTTCAAGGGCAAGGCAAAGCAAGGTGTCACAGAAAGTTGCAAAAGAAAATAAACGTGTGTTCACCGTGGGCAAGGAGAGCATCTAACAAAATCAAGCCATCCATGCACATGCATTGCTGATGACATATGCAAATTAAGTGGGTCTCTAATCCATGCCACTTATACTTTTCCCAGTGTGGATGTGGAGGACTTTTCAATGAGAGCCTTTTTGCTGGTATTTTTACAAGTCAGCAGATCCTCAAAGCCCAAGTGAAATATGGGGCTGATGAAAGACCTAGAAAAACTGGAACACTCACAAGCCGTCCAGCGGCCAGTGCCACACAAACTAGGATAAAACAAACCTCTTCTTTCTAACCAAGGGCAGATCTCAGTGGGCTCGGGGAGGTAAGTGGAAGGGCAGAACGCCGGTCAAGTTGCCCGGACGCCGAGGGAAGCAGCTGTAGAAGGGCCCCTTCCCCGCAGCACCTGCCCCCGCCATGGAGCATTTCCCTCAGGCGTCGTGACTGTCCTGAGGCGTGGCGCCCGCGCCGGCCCGGCGGAGGAGTCGCGGCAGACCGGAGAACTCCAGCCCTCACACGGTTAAACCTCTCCCAAGGAGACTGGAGGAGGGAGGGTCCCCGCCCACGAAAACGGAGATACTGTAAAATCATCGCGGCGCCCCGCCCCCACCCCGGGCCC